TCTAAACCCAAATGATTTAAGATTGAAAAAAATCTTTAAAATAAAACATTGAAATTATAAGAGGACTAGTGAAAATAAGACTAAAATTTCTACCATAATCTTAGAAGAAAACTTCTCTAAGCCAAACCAACTTTACCACTTTGTAATAAACATGTATAACCTTAATAACAAGCTAATTAAAGGCACTGAATAAAACATTTATAAATGATTCTCATCCCATACTTAATGTTTACATAACATCATTAGCATTTTCTTTAAAGTCACTAACTCAATGATGATTATCTCATTATAGCATGAAACATAGCATTTAACTAAGTCACTTGACCAAAAGAGCAAACCATAGCACATTCTATGGTCCTCTGTGCCAGAAATATTTCTTGAGCTAGGATACAGCAAGGAATGAACCAGGAAAATGCCCTGCTTTCGAGGCATTCACTGTCTAGAGGAAGAGACCTTAGGATGGACTAAAGTGATTGTAGAGGGGGAAAATGTAAATCGGGGAGGGGAGATGCCAGTGATAGAGCAGGGAGGGAGGAGATAATTAAGAGTTTGAAATTTTAAATAGGGTAATCAGGGAAGCCCTCACTAAAAGGTTAATTTTTTTTCAAGAATTATTTTATTTATTATTATTTTTTAATTTGCTATAGGCCATGAGGGCTGACTAGAGAGGGCAGTGGGGGGAGGGGGGGTAGAAATCAGCCATCAGGGGTGGATAGCCATACTGCAATTCCTTCTCCTCTATTCTCCTCTAGGAACTTTGAACATGCATGGACATGTACCTGGTGTGTTTTTCAAGCTGCCAGGTCCAGGACTGGAACCATGCTGTCAGTCATGAGGGATCCAGTCTCCTTAATCACACTACCTGGCTGGCCCCTTGATGTTCATTTCTTTCTGACAGGTTACTCTTTGCCCATTTTTCTCTCTGAAGGAGGATTGGATATTATGTCTGTTTGTTGTTGTTGTTGTTGTTGTTGTTGTGTTTTTAATCATACATCGTTTTTATTGTTAAGTCATAAATAGGTATCATAATTAAAAGCAAAATTATAGGGTAAGACTTAACAAAACTACTAGGAGCATTGAAAGAAGAGAAATGGGACTAGGCACAGGGCAATATGAATTAATGGACATGAGAAAGACAGAGATAGGGAAAACAGTGAGCATGTGCTGAAGATACTAGGGGAGAAGATGACTTTTTTTGAACTACATGGCTTTTTTTTAGCCCCTTTCCTGATGAAAGAAAGTCTAGGGGTCTGGGAATTGCTTCAAGAGTCAACCTGTCATAAGTTTATGCAAAAAGAGAAAATGAATGTATTACTAAATTCCAACTTAGTTGGATGTGAAAGCGCGGTGCAGCATTTGGGTCATGCCCATAGCAGGGAACTCCTTTCTCCTCCCTGCAAGCTGGCATTTGACTCTGGTGGTGGTGAGCCCACAATGGCCCAGACATCATTCTAAAGGAAACAAAGCAAGAGTATAGAAGGCCTCTATGCTCCTGCACCTACTTCATGAGAAAATGTTAATCTCCTCAGATTGTGTACAAACTTGAACTTTGACACATGAGAGAAATAACATCATTTTAGTTAAACTATTTTTATTTGGTTTCTGTTAAAGAAACTAAATCAATATCTTAATATATAATATACTATTATTGGTGACTACTACATGTGTTGAAGGGATATGTGATTGATAAATATAAAATTCCATATATATGTAAAGTAATATTAAAGAATTATATGTTCCGTTCCCCTAAGCTTTGAGCATAAAGCATCTACATTCTGTTGAGAAGGAAAGCTATACTATGAAGCCTAAGTTAAAGTCAACCTCTTTATCACCATAACCTTGGGTCCATACCCTAATTGGCTGTATGACAGATTAACATAGTAAGCATCTGCTGACTTCTGTGATGAAGACAATACAACGCTGGGTTATGGTTTCTCATGGTTCTATCATATCCAATCAAGGCCTTTAAATGGAAAATGAATTCTGAATTCTTCAAAATCTGTATCTCATCACTTTTCATAGGCAAATGTTACAATAATATGAGTTTAAATATTATTCTCCGATTGCAGGGCTTTAGCGATTGCTTATTTTCACACAGAATGTGACAAAACTTTCATGGAAATGAAGGACCTACTTACCCCTGAAGAACCACATTTGACATTGGGATTTTTAAAACTTGCCATTTATATTTACCATTATTAAGTAATTTTGCATTTTCCTATATAGATTTTGATTGATTGAATAGGGATTACTGCTTCCACACAATCTGATCAAATCTGTTTATGGTCAAGTTTGTATATTTATATCACTACACATGTTCAAAGAAACATCAGAGGGCATAGTTCTATATGTCTTGTGTGGAAGGGCACTGGAACAGTGACTTATCTAATCAGCTAGGATTTGAAAGGAGAAGCCAAAGGTGGAGCTCTAACAATGGAAAAATGATTGGGAAATCTGACTTCTGAAACACGAGGTTTCAATTAAGAAAAGCTGGAAATTGGCAAATATATTCTAAATAGAAATACACCTTCAGAAAGAGACAAGGATATTTCTGCCTTATAATGCTGAAGTTTGCATTACAGAAGACGAAAATGGTGACGTGTAAAAGAAATTTTTAAAATTTTCTGTACCCCTGAAGTTATTTTGTATAAACAATAGTCTTTCTTTTATCAATATTTTAATGATGTTGGTGGTGGCTTTCTTTAGATTACTAAGTGGGGATACTTTATTTTGCTGGCCCAAAGGCCTTAGAACTGTGCTTCATGAGTAGTGGTTGCAAGGAAAACAAACAAAAAAGTTAGTGTACTGGATGGATAAATGATGTTTCTATCCAAGAGTTATGATTTCCACTAAATGAAATTAAAAAAATAAAGACCATTCCTATTTGGAAGATCCTAGTGGAGAAATAGGTATTGCCACTGAGAGATTATCATTTAAAATATGAACAGAGAAGATACTTTATCTCAAATAAGATGTTTCTAATGAAGGTTGTTTCACAATTGATGTGTTTTGTTGTTGTGGGTTTTTTTTTTTTTTTTTGAGTCTTATAGGCATATTTATTTTGCTTGGCAATTCTGAAATACCTGATTTTGGAGAAGTATGACTTTGGGTATAAGGCTATATTAAAAAATGAACATGATATAAGAATATATGAACCTATGTTTGGGAGGAAAAAGGAAATGATCTGATCCTTTTTAAAATTCTACATATTTGGGAACCAGCAGTTAGCATACTGGCTATGTCGCTGGACTCCCACGTAGTCGACCGTGGTTCGTGTCCCGGACCCGGTGGCTTAAAAAACTCACGCCGGGCGCGTGTGCGTGCGTGCCCAAGATCCTGAGAGGAGAATGGAGGAGAAGGGATTGCGGCGTGACCATCCCCCCTGGGGGGTGATTTCTCGCTTTCTGTCTCTATGTTTCTCTCTGTCTGTCTGGCGAGTGCACGTGCCCTACAGTGAAAATCTCTCCAAAAAAAAGAAAAAAAAAAAGAATTCTACATATTTGTGCTATTAAAATATAACTAAAAATCATCAAAATTATAATGATAAATACTGTGTACAAGAAAACCTATACTACTAACGTCAATGGTTATGGTATTCAATATTGCTGATAAATGAGTCACCTTGATCCTCATGGGAACCTAATCACATGAAATTACATGAAAATAGGAGTACAGTTACAAAACGGAATTTTTTGTCTATTTCCAAGCACTTATGTACTGTAACTCAATTGATATACATTTCAGTAAGTAGAATATAGCTTTGCAAAGCAACATGAGAATTTGACCTATAGGTCTATAGTTACTCTGTTTCATTCATGTATTTTAAAGATGTGGTTTTGGAATAAGGTATTAGGTTTGCCCCTTATAAGTAAAACAAATAATGTGATGCTGGAAACACACACTTTTCACTTAATATAACGAGTTCTTATAAGTCAGATCTTCCAGGAGTACAAAATACATGAATTAGAAAGTTGCATTTAGGGGCCAGCAGGTGACACGGTTGTAAGGTTCTGGACTCCCACATGGCTGACCATTCTTTGTGTCCTGGATATGGAAATGTGCTTTCTCACTTCCCTTCTTTCTCTGTCTCTCTTCAGCCAAATTAAAATGATAATAACAATGATAAAATTAAATAATTGTTAAAAAGAAAGCTGAATTTATTATTTAATGTCTCATTCCCAGACAGGCACTTACTGAGTAGTAAAATCTTGTTTGACAACCAAATTTAAAACTATTTAAGAAATCGGAAGGCTTTAAAAAATAACTTTTGATTCATGTAGCTAAACCACTTCATTCATTTAGTATTTTTTTCCCCCACTGGTATTAAGAATATTTCGTTTTTACTACCACAAATAATAAACTATAAAAATAGGCAGAGATATTTGAATTAAAGCTTGGGCTATTTGAAATATGCCATTTAAAAGGACAATCAGAAAACAGGTTTTATATTAAGTTTCCTTTCAATATCCCAAGAAGCTGATATCATTCTATAAGAGAGTGTTGCTAGAGTACATATTGGGATATTCTAAAATTTCCTCTTTTGCGTAGATAGAATTTCTTACTGTAGACTTACCAAGTTTATGTTTCCAGTTACATATCAGCTCATGTTAAATTTGGCAAGACTTTATGATTTCTAAGAACTCACCTTCTATGAGACCGTTCTCTGAGTGAGGCTAATTTAGAAATCAGTAAGTAAAAGGAATCCTTTTCCTCTGCATGTAAATAAATAGCTTAAGAGTAATGTTGATAGTCTAGGAATTCAGTTAGGAGGCAGGTGCTTATTACTGGGCACCCTACCTCACCTGCCCAAGATGCTGCCTAACCACCTGGTCTGACCTCCACACCCCGTTGGGCAACCGTCTGCTACTGGCCCAGTATTGCCACTTCGGACAAAGACCACCGAGGACACGGGCTCAGAATTCTATCTTGGGGCTGGCCATCCTCTACAGTCGTGTCCCCTGATTCGGAATGAGTGCATTCAGTGCAGGAAGATCACTTACGACGGAGTTTTTCATCATGGCTTTGACTGTGAAGCCTTCAGAAACCAAGGAGTGAGGCTGGTGCCCCGAGAGCGGCTGTTGTGCCAGCAGCTTGTTCCTCTTCGGCATCTTGTCGGGGCATTTGTTTAAGCTCGGGGTCTCTTTTTCTGCCACCATCTTCCTGGGAAATGTCTTGTTCTCATGAAAAGTGTGGTAAAAGAGTCAGTGGGATTTACGGATGTGGGCGGGAGTTCGGGGAAAAATATGGAAAAAAGAGCGTTAACGGTAGAACTTCTACCCCGTAGCGCCCAGGTTCATCCAGGTGTTTGGCAGCTCCTAGGTGAAGGGAGAGGGAAGGGAGGGGCGGGAAGAGGGCAGGACGCGCCTAGAACTGCAACCAGCTTCCAAGGTACGGCCTCCCGGTTGCTAAGCGACCCGTCAACATCGCGGGCGAGTGCCGCCCACCCCTCCGTGACGCACGTTTTTTGGGCCTAAACCGGAAAGGGCGGCGGACAGAAAGCGGCGCGCGTGGCGAGGAGAAATTACGCCTTAAAACTACGACTCCCAGCAGGCTGCGCGCCGGACGCCGCCTGCGCGTGCGCACACGACGGCCAGGCGCAGGGGAGGGGAGGCCTGGACGCTTTAACCCCGGAGCGCCGCCGGTGGGAGGCGCGGGCGGGCGCCGGTGAGCGCGTAGAGCCCTACCTGCCCAGCAGCCTCCACCTGCCCAGTGACCATGATAGGTACGTCGGTACCTGTAAGGTACAGCCTCTCTGCGCCGCTCTGAGCCCAGGTGTGGTGGCGTGGCCGACGGGCCCCCCGGGTGCCGCGCTGCTGTCAGTGACAGGGCGAAAGTGTCCGCTCCGTCCTCAGCCCGCGCCGCTGGGCTACGTCTTGGGCGGACAGCAGCCCAGCGCCGCCGGCCTGTGTGGGTCGAGGAGAATAAGTGTGTGTGTTTGAAGTCCCCGCCCGCCCCCCGCCCGTGTTTTAACGGGGCGCACTGAAGACAACTTCGCTAGGGACACGGGTGTGCGCCTGCGCCCTAGGAGGGTCACTGGGCCCCCAGCTCCCGCAGACCTGCACCTGTCCTGCAGACCTTTGTGGGGTCCATCTGAGGTCCATTTCTCGTCCAGACGCCCTCTCCTCCCCTTCCTTAAGGAAGGTTTGTGGGCATTCAGTTTAGGACAGATTGAGACCCGCTGTCTGTATTGGGACAAAGAAATGTGATATTATCTGCTGAAGATAATTTGATAGTATTATCACCTGGACTAGGGAGAAATGTACACATGTTAGAATAGTCACTCCGTAAGCTAAATAACATGATTGAATGTATAAAAGAACAAGAAATTTTTTAAAAAAAATGTGTACATATATATATGTATATATATACACACATATACATATATGTGTGTGTGTGTGTGTATATATAAAGACTTTTTAAGGAAACCCTCGGAGTTTTCCTTTGAAATTAATAATCGAAGCTGTGTTATAAAAGAGTAATTACGGGTGAATAGTAGCAAACATTAAATCTACCTTTTGCAAAACAAATTAATGATTTTTTAAAAACACAAAGTGATCTGGTACAGTTTTCTGAATAAAACTCTGGAAGTGACTATTAAAATTGTTTATAAACACTGTAAAGTACAAGATTAGCAAAGATCCTCTCTTCCAAGGTTCTTAAGCCAAAAGTTACATTTAGGGGTTGTCCCTGAAAACTAGTGGACATGCACTGCATGCTTAGAAAGCATTGCTGTTTAAAGGTTTCTTTATTGCAGAGACTTGCTCCAAATTATGCATTGGAGGTTTGATAAACTGGTTTGGGGGTTATTTCTGATCAGAGTCACTTAAAAAACATGTTTGATCGCAACAAGCTCACTTGAATTTACACGTTGTTTGCCCAGAAGAAATGAGGTGGATTTATAAAATATGTAAGTTTTATCCACTGAAAACATTCCTAGAGTCTGTTATTTATGAAATTAATATTAACATATACAAGGGTCTTTTTTAGAGGTTATGGAAAATGCATATTTTGGAAGAAAAACTATGCATGGATTTAAAAAGTACCACAAAAAACTCTAATTGCAATTTTTCCATAACTTTTTGAAGCCACCTGGTTAAACACTGTACCCATTGCTGGGTGGATCATGCCAGTTGCTGTCATGGTTAGATCTGTAATGGTTAGACCTAAAGGTGTTGTCCAACTTTCCTTACCTTGTTGGTATGACTTTTGGTGAATGACTTGAAAATGATCAAATTAAGAAAAAAATTATGTTTTGTGAATTTTATTGAGCTTTTGGGTATGATGTATATAAGTTTCACTTGTAAACACAAATTTGAACTGAATCTGAGAGACAAATAGAGATTTTTCAAAATCTGTGATATCAGTATCTTACAGGAAAAAAATAGTCTATGCTTATTTTGAAGACAATTATACACATTTTAATTCAACTCAATCTACTTCATGCATACTTTTAAGAGAAAAAATTTATTTTAAAATTATATAAAAAACAGGAAATTAAGGTATAAAAACCATTAGTTATTATTTTATGATTATATAACTTTATTAGGATGAAATATATTAAGGCAATTTTGTTTAGTTTCATCTGAGATTCTTCCAAGGTGAAAGAAATGAATCTTTGGATCTGATAATAAACAGTTATCAATTACTGGTAATGACATGGAGAATGTAAGGTGGGTTCTAAAGGGTTTTCTCTTACCCCAGGTATTATTTTATATAGTGCAAATAAGTGATCTGAAACATAAATGACTAAACTCATTTCCCCTCCTCAAGAGGAGTAACTTTATGTATAAAAACCATGTGCACTGTGTGCAATAAATTATTTGACTTAACTAGTTGCATTGCCTAATTCTGTTGATAGACACATTTCAGTAGAAATCTGAACTGAACGTTTTGGACTTGGGTGTGTTGAACAGCGCAAATGATAGGTGAAAATTCAAGTGATTGAAAGGGAGCCCTAGAGAGATGGATTCTGTGTTTCTGTGACTAAAGTTCAGCACCAGGAAAGGCATTATAGTCTTTACCCAGTGGTTAGTGTCAGATGAAAATATAAATACATAAACACATTTATATTCCTGGGGATTGTTTTTTTTCTGTTGAAGATCAGAGAGCTGTTCAGAGCTTACCCCTTGCCTTTCCATGCCTCTGCTCTCTCTAATTGCTATATCCTTCCTAATGCAAATAAGAATCTCCTACTTTATTTTAATCCTGACTCATTTTGGAAAAAAAACAAAAAGATGGGTAAAGGGTGCAGACTGTTAACCTTACTATATAAGTAAAATTACCTTCCTTTTACTTTCTCAAAACGGAGGATTCCCTTCTTGACATGGAGACTGTTTCAGAAGTACTTACATTTCCCACTCGGATTATGATTGATATGTTTAATGCCCTGACCCAGACAGCTACAGAAACATAATTTAATTGAAGTCAGTGAAAAATTGTGCCTTTGTGAAAAGCGTGGAGGACTTCAAGATAATATAAAACAGAATAGAAAAGCCAACTTAGAAAAATGTAATTTTGGTACCTCCATTAAAAATATATTTCACCTTTTGAAAAAATGGACAAGTCTTTGTGTTTGAAATTGAATTTTAGTGCTGATACTTGTGATATGTTCTAAATGTCCTATAGAATTGAGCTTAGGTTTTGGTGTAACATCAGATATTAAAGTGTGCAGATATACAATGATATCGTCAGTATTGGAATTTCAGTTTATTGCCATACTTGAACAAAGTTTTTAATTGGCCCCCAGCTCCCGCAGACCTGCACCTGTCCTGCAGACCTTTGTGGGGTCCATCTGAGGTCCATTTCTCGTCCAGACGCCCTCTCCTCCCCTTCCTTAAGGAAGGTTTGTGGGCATTCAGTTTAGGACAGATTGAGACCCGCTGTCTGTATTGGGACAAAGAAATGTGATATTATCTGCTGAAGATAATTTGATAGTATTATCACCTGGACTAGGGAGAAATGTACACATGTTAGAATAGTCACTCCGTAAGCTAAATAACATGATTGAATGTATAAAAGAACAAGAAATTTTTTAAAAAAAATGTGTACATATATATATGTATATATATACACACATATACATATATGTGTGTGTGTGTGTGTATATATAAAGACTTTTTAAGGAAACCCTCGGAGTTTTCCTTTGAAATTAATAATCGAAGCTGTGTTATAAAAGAGTAATTACGGGTGAATAGTAGCAAACATTAAATCTACCTTTTGCAAAACAAATTAATGATTTTTTAAAAACACAAAGTGATCTGGTACAGTTTTCTGAATAAAACTCTGGAAGTGACTATTAAAATTGTTTATAAACACTGTAAAGTACAAGATTAGCAAAGATCCTCTCTTCCAAGGTTCTTAAGCCAAAAGTTACATTTAGGGGTTATCCCTGAAAACTAGTGGACATGCACTGCATGCTTAGAAAGCATTGCTGTTTAAAGGTTTCTTTATTGCAGAGACTTGCTCCAAATTATGCATTGGAGGTTTGATAAACTGGTTTGGGGGTTATTTCTGATCAGAGTCACTTAAAAAACATGTTTGATCGCAACAAGCTCACTTGAATTTACACGTTGTTTGCCCAGAAGAAATGAGGTGGATTTATAAAATATGTAAGTTTTATCCACTGAAAACATTCCTAGAGTCTGTTATTTATGAAATTAATATTAACATATACAAGGGTCTTTTTTAGAGGTTATGGAAAATGCATATTTTGGAAGAAAAACTATGCATGGATTTAAAAAGTACCACAAAAAACTCTAATTGCAATTTTTCCATAACTTTTTGAAGCCACCTGGTTAAACACTGTACCCATTGCTGGGTGGATCATGCCAGTTGCTGTCATGGTTAGATCTGTAATGGTTAGACCTAAAGGTGTTGTCCAACTTTCCTTACCTTGTTGGTATGACTTTTGGTGAATGACTTGAAAATGATCAAATTAAGAAAAAAATTATGTTTTGTGAATTTTATTGAGCTTTTGGGTATGATGTATATAAGTTTCACTTGTAAACACAAATTTGAACTGAATCTGAGAGACAAATAGAGATTTTTCAAAATCTGTGATATCAGTATCTTACAGGAAAAAAATAGTCTATGCTTATTTTGAAGACAATTATACACATTTTAATTCAACTCAATCTACTTCATGCATACTTTTAAGAGAAAAAATTTATTTTAAAATTATATAAAAAACAGGAAATTAAGGTATAAAAACCATTAGTTATTATTTTATGATTATATAACTTTATTAGGATGAAATATATTAAGGCAATTTTGTTTAGTTTCATCTGAGATTCTTCCAAGGTGAAAGAAATGAATCTTTGGATCTGATAATAAACAGTTATCAATTACTGGTAATGACATGGAGAATGTAAGGTGGGTTCTAAAGGGTTTTCTCTTACCCCAGGTATTATTTTATATAGTGCAAATAAGTGATCTGAAACATAAATGACTAAACTCATTTCCCCTCCTCAAGAGGAGTAACTTTATGTATAAAAACCATGTGCACTGTGTGCAATAAATTATTTGACTTAACTAGTTGCATTGCCTAATTCTGTTGATAGACACATTTCAGTAGAAATCTGAACTGAACGTTTTGGACTTGGGTGTGTTGAACAGCGCAAATGATAGGTGAAAATTCAAGTGATTGAAAGGGAGCCCTAGAGAGATGGATTCTGTGTTTCTGTGACTAAAGTTCAGCACCAGGAAAGGCATTATAGTCTTTAC